CCCGAAGAGAAACCGGGTAAAACACGGTGAAATCAGTGTTTCACCTACCTTAGGACACACTTTGTTTTTAAGTGACTCTTTTATATCAAAAGTTATTTTTCACTTTTTTTTGTGACATATACGGACTCTTAATCTGCGAAAGAGATCTGTCTCAAAAGAAAACTTGTCCAGCAATCCGATGGTGTAGCATTGTGACTAGCGAAAATGAGACCTATTTCGATACGGGAACAGAGAGTAGAATTTACTACCTAACTCTCTATTTATACTGATTTCGCCTTTTCAGATCAAGATTATAACAAGCTCAAAGCATTGTCTGCTCGCTTTAAAAATTTGATTGCACTATGTTCTCGAAAAAAAGTCCGAGTAAAACATAGTGCAATCGAAGATAACAAACAAGGACTGGAAACCTATGGAACTAGTACGAATTTTGGAATTTATGAACTTTAGAAGTATTGAATTTATGACCTTCTGAATTTTCGAATTTATAGAATTCACGAACTTTGGAAATTATAGAATTTACGAACTTTGGAATTTATCAACTTTAGAAATATTTAATTTATGACCTTCTGAATTTTCGAATTTATTCGAATCACTTTGAAGTTGAGATCAAACTTGTACACAGTAGTTTTATTAACACTCTCTCTCTTTGTTTAAATCCTTTCTACTTCTCATAAGAACCATATTAGTAGTTTTTTCTCGTGTATTTCTCAATTATGGTTTGCCATATAACTGGCATTTCATCTCAGAATAAAAGTGAGAACGGTTAAATGTTTTATAGTTCGTCGGTGAGTTTTACCGTAAGGTAACGTTTGTCATATGTGAAGAAAACATTCACGCTTGGACTTACAGACAATGTATATCTGTAGATATTATCGCTAGGATCAGTTCGTTATTAGAGCCATCTAATATTCTGCGTATGAGGCGGAATGGCTAAGCCCCAATCCTCCGTGTGTTAAACAGAACCGAACTGATCATCGCTACATCCTGAGAGTCACTAACGGCAAAGCGATATTACACCCAGGATACTCACAATTGTTATAACATCAACCTTTCATGCATTTCTCACTTCTGTGCAGTTTTTATTTTGAGACCTTTACACAGCAAACATTAACTGAGTCTTTATAATGAGAAAGCCTGTATATTTGGTTCATTTCATGAGAAAGAAGAACCACTTTTGACACCCACAATGAATGGAGAAAAGTTGCAACTGTGCGACAGTAAAATAGAAAGGTTTTTGTATGATCTCTCTTATCAGTAGTTTATTGTGTGACACGTAACGGAAAGAGAAACACGAACGTGAAAAAGAATCAGTGACTTGATCGGTTAAAAAAACGTATTTTTCGTATTCACTAGACGTTCGTTTTAGCACTTTGTGTAGATGGCATTAGTTGATACAGCCGTTTATTTTGATTATTCAATAAAAATGATACAATTGCGTCCAAGCGATAAATTATTTGATATAGAAAATACATTAAAAACGATCTTGATGTCGATATGAATGTGCACCGTATACAATTTTTTGATAACAGGGTGGGAAAATACGTTAACCTTCATGAAAACTATTTTAATGATGCTAATGAACTTTTATTATGGTCAAAAAATGCTATTATTGAGCTACAAGTTGTATCACATTAAGAGCAACAACAACAACAACAAGGTATTGACATAATTTTATAATAAATTTATAAATAAAAGTCAAATTTAGAGCTATTTTATTGCGCAAGAGATTTAAGCCTTTGCTAAATTTTTATTTTCTATATAAAATAGGTCATGAATTCGCAATATATTTCGAAACTTTATGCCTCAGAATGTTCTGTTTGTCCAAGTAATATATGATCTTTTTCTTATAGGTGTAGATAATTATGAACAGGATACTCAAAATGAAACGAATAACTCAAAAACTGACATTGAATATTTGATAATCTGGTTTGATCAACATATTGGTAGTCTAGATTATTATAAGTTATTAAAAAAAGAATTTGGAATGACAATCGATCCAACACAAGAATATATCAATATACCTAAAAAAGATGAAGTTGACATCGATAACTTAATTAGTGTACGTAATGCTGAATCCATTCAAGATTATCCATTATTAGCGTGTGATAAGGCAGAAGATTTCTTGAGACTTCTAACTGAAAATGCACACAAACGCATAATCGTTATCATATCTGGTACATTAGGTGAAGAGTTCATGTCAAAAATTTTCGAATATTCACATGTTGATTTCATTTATGTATTCTATGGTAACATATCAGCTCATGTTAATTGGGCTGTGGAATATATTGGTGACGAAAAACAATTATTAATGTTTGAACATGAAGAAAATTTACTTGCACGAATAACACGTGATATGGGAAAATATTTTATGGAAAAAGGCAATATTTATTTGAAATCACATAACTCACAGGAAGCATTAATCAATTTTACCCGTTCAAAAAAGCTCATGTTACGTGCCAATGCACTCGACAAAGAAAATAATGGAAATGAACTTGCATTATTGAATGGTAAACCGCCAAACTATCAGGGTCTCATTTTCCAAGCTGAACAACAAGAAAACAAATAGGAACAGTCGGACTGCACTTATTCAAACATTATTGAATCTCTACGAACACTCTGTTGAATTACATGATAAAAACATTTTTTATACAAGAAACAACATTAGCTAGAAGAATTACACATACAGTATAGTCCACCCTTCATTTCTTAAACCTTAATTCCTCTTGTCACCTTCTGTTGTCCCTACCATCTACCTGCGTTAACTCCTTTTTGTAGATTAAACACTACTCGGTTCTAAAATGGTTCTTTAAGGGCCCCTCTCAGGAAAAAAAACTTTTTTGTCTTACTGATTTTGATGAAAGTTTCAGCAAATGTTGTGCATTTAAAGGTGTGATCACAACATTTTCTTTTACTCTCTATCTGTTACCGTTCCGGAGTTTTCTAGAGTCTAAGGCCGAAAGCCACCCTTCACTACAGACTCCTTTTCCTTAATACAGCTCAAGATAGAGATCTCGGGTTGGTTTTATTTTAAACCAGATACCTGACTGGGAGGACTGATTGAACCAGATTTTTTAATTAGACCTTTATTGGTTCTCTAGAGACGCAAGATCCTTTTTCAGTTTTCCAAAGTTCCTTTTTTCCTAAGGAACTAAGGTCTATTTAAAAAATCTGCTTCCATCAGTCCTAGCAGAATTTTATGCTCTTTCGATTAAACAGAAAAATTTCTCTCTCTGATGAATCGCTATCAAGAAAAGGGATCCACAGTAGACGAAGTTACACAAAAGAACGTGTTTAGGAGAAAACGCTGTGCCTTCGTTGGTCTACTTTAGGACATGTAGGAAAATACTTGTAATTTTTGAACGAAAGAGCATACAGAGTTGCGTAACGTCTTATTCAAAATAGTCTGCTCTACAAATCTACGTGTCCAGAAAAAAATTATCATTTAAAGATTGTGGTTTTCAAGGCTTGTAGAACACTTGCTCGAAAGTCATGAAACATACAGTTCTGGGAGCGAAAGCGATACAGATTCTGAAAGTAGACGCTTCAGGCTATCTTTCTATGTGCTTGTCTCCAAATTGATTTTTCGATACAAAATGATTTCATTCTGGGAAGGGGTAGGGGCCCTTATATACCATTCGCACTCTGCTAAATTATCTTCAATTGATTTTCTCGACAAATATAAGATAAATCGCTCTTTGAGGAAATCTTTAAATGAAGCATGATGAGTCTAGTACAAAATGATATCAAAATGTTTTAGGCTCATAAAAACAAAACGAAAACAGATGTAATGACATTAGAAGTAATACTGAAAAAATATGCAAATACAGTTATTTAAGAAGTACTTACCGTTGTGAAGGACAAGTGGCATCAGTCTGTGAACAAGAGTGGCAAGTGGCACAATTTAAAGAGTAGCGGCATACATTATCTGCTTGTGTTTAACCCGATATATCACAACTTTTCTCTTTCATCATTTTCTTTATTTTCTCTGATCTTCTACCTTCGAATAATAGATAGCGAAATTTCATACGAAAACGTTTGTAATATTTCATGATCATCACAACAACAAAAGCTCGAACTTCATGTGAGGTCATAAACACCAAAAATTAAACTAACAAATTAGTTTTATAAGAAAACCATTAAAGAGTCAAAGAATGTCAATATTATACGACTATCGGTAATTAGTCTCGTTTGATCAAAGTTCGTCAACAGAGAAACAGAAGTTGTAGTTTGAATTATGCATCATTTGTGACCAGACTGATATTATTGTATTCAAACTACAAATAAACTCTAACAAACCCTGCAATATCTTGTCGATATATTGGACACTTTTTCAGTGAATAGCCACATGGTACACACGTCGCAAGGTGACCACACGGTATGCATGCGATACTCTTTTCATCCGTTTGACACACAACACATTTTGGCGAATTAGAAACTGGAAAAGAATAAAAGAATAAATAATTGACCAATCATACAAAATGTGAACAACTTAATTATTCGATTAATATTTGCGCGAACCTGATTTTGGTGACCGAACTGATGGCTTGATTACGTTATGATTCATTCTTGTGTGCAACTGAGTTCTATTTGTTTGGTAGACTAAAAATGGGTGTTACTATATGTTCAATGCAGTCTGCAAATAAAGTATGTTTAGCATTTGACATTGAAGTATGAAGTAAAACTGAGAACAACTGAATACAGGGTTCATCGTTAGGCATAGTTATCGCCAATCGAAAATTCGTGAGCTCATTGTTGATTGCTTCAGTGAGAAGGACAAAGATAATCACTTCAGGTTCAAAAAAATCCTATAACCGAGTTTTGTTGTCAGAATGTGTAATATTAACTCACGTTTTTGTTTTGAATAACTTTTATCTAGTCGCGCATTTATTTATAGCAATGCCTAGCTTGCAGATATTTCTGTGTTTATTTGTTTTGTGATACCAGGGGAAGAAAACAACGTGTGCTGTACAAATATTTACATTTTCTACTTCCTACTTGATCACCTCTTAGCTTAAGAATCCGATAATTTTATTTTGATAAAAGAATACTTCAAAGATTACTAATATGACAATTTCTCCATAGAAAGAAAACACCTAGTAAATTAAGTAAAATTTATGTTTAATCTCATATATGTTATCTGCTTTCTTAATATTTCATCATACTGACTCAAACAACTAGTCGAATCATGAAGATCCACTACAAGTTGTGTGATGTCACACACATACTTTTAGAACGGAAGAAGAGAACAAAAAATAAAACAGTATTATAAAGAGAACGAGCTAGAGAAAATAAAAAAGGGAAGAGTTCATAATATTCAAAGAAAAAGTCGAGACGCGTTATGACCTCTGCCAGTTGTAAAAGAGTGCTAAACAAATTCAATTATAACGTTATCGTTTTCCTCCGATTTCCTCTTGGGTCTATCCAGTAGCTATGTTCACAAGAAACTAACGTCACCTGCCCTTATCGGCAATAAACGAACGCTTATTCTCCGTTGTATACTACTTCGTTGTCCGAGTTGCTACAAAGGTTAGGTTTGTTTTCAACTAAACTATACATTTAGACTTGAGAATTGACCTCGTCTGTTTTGTCTCTAAATTTTTCTGCTCCTGAAGA